AATAATCTGAATATTCTTAATAACATGCAAATGAAATGGATTTCTAAATTAAATCTTGAAGTAACATTCAAGAAAACACATGCTTAATAAAGTGAAACAACAGTTGTTCTTAAGCCTTTTCCTAAACAGGTTTCTAAGTGTCACTAAGGTCCTACTTACTAAGTAGAAAATATTCAAATATTTTCCTTTGAAAACTGTTACTTTTTTTTGTGGGTTTTTTTTTTTTGTTTGTTTGGGTTTTTTTTTATTTTTCTCAGTAGGTTGCCATTCTTGAGATCTGGCTACTAAAATGAGGTTTTCTAAAACATTTCAACTTGTCAAAAAGATTTCCTTCATTCATGTTAATGTGACATATGATACAAAGTGGTTTTCTACCTTTAACTGAGGGGAATGTGTAGATATTCTTGATTTCAAGTTGTCTTGCAGCAGACAAACTGCTTTGGACAGCCAAAAACCATAAATACTGTAAATACTCTCTTGTGAAATAAACAAATCCCCCAAAGAATTTTGTTTATCTCAAATAAATTCTGGGATAGTTTTCATCGACTTTAGCAACAGAATAATAGGAAGTTCACAAGTCCTTACTTTTGGGGATGAAGTATTTCTTGATCACCAGAAAGTTGGTGCACCCAGTTTAAAAAAAAAAAAAAAAAAAAAAAACACAAAAGAGAGAGAGGAAATAAAAAAATAATAAAAAAAAGGCACTTCCAAAATGATGCTTTAGAGATAAAGAAAAATCCTAAGTAAACAGAGTAAACAGGAATCTGTAAGATAATACCTACAGATGCCTACAGAAGAAGTCTGACATACTTCCACCTGGAACAGATTAAGTTTTTCTTCCTGTCTCATTATGGCAAAGTGTCTGAAGAAGCTGTGTGGAAAACAAGGACTCTGTTTTCTGAAAAACTCTGCAATTTGGCCTGCCTATAGTCAGTTCCATTAAAAACCATCATCTAAAAAGAAACGCATAAATGGGCATAATTTTGAGGAAGGATCTGACCTGGAGCCAAGGAAAGCCAAATTGTTACCTTAGCTTTGTGATTTTCTGAGATGTTTTGGGTTTTTTTTAACTCACCTGCCCTGCTTTTGGTTTTGATGGAAAAAATACTGCAACTTCTCAGGATAAAATATACATTAAAAAAATGTTTAAATATTTAAAAAAATAAATCCCAGTATTGATATGCTGTCACAGAAGTGTGGAAAGGCATTTAGAACTCCACCCATAGCTTTTCAATTATTTTTGTATTAGCAGCTACTGTCCTGTAATTCTGGCAAATTTTGACACCCTTACGGTTCTGCAATAGTGAAGGAACAGTACAAAGATGGGTTTCCTTTTTATGACCTTGCCTCATAGTACAGTCCAAACTGCCTATCTGTCCAGCAGTCTACCTCAAAACTTCTTAGGGGTGCTCTAAAGATAGCACTTCCATATGGACCTGTTGTACATTTTTCCCTCTGTTCTTTCAAATGAAATACAAGGCAATAAATCTGCTCCATGTAATCTGTTGCTTTATGACCAGAATTTCTGTGTGACTGGACTTCACCACATTTCTTGAAATGCTATCTATCTTGTACATTTCAGCTGTGCTACTTTCACTGAGTACCTTCCTAGAAAAAGAACAAAACAATACAAAATTCTTGAAGTGTTAGAAGAAACAACCACAGGTCTGGCCTAACACCTGGAATGCTGTATGATCTGGATCTTCAAAAGGAGTACAAGAGAATGAAAGAAAGATTAGAAACTAATGAAAAAGTTATTCTTAAAAAATAAATGGTATATATATGAGAGTCTAAGTACGTTAAAATTGTCCTGTCTTGAGAAGAAATGAGGACTGTAACATCATGAATAGAATGGATAAGGTGACCAACTATCCAATGTCTTTCAAAAATGAAAATACAGGAATGAAAAGATCAGGAAGCAATGTCAAAACACAGGAGGTATATCTTAAAAAACTGTGTGGCTGAGTTATGCAATTCATTCTTACAGCAAACTGGATGATAGAAGCACTGTAGTGGCTCAAAAGCCATCAGACAAATTTATGGAAGAAAAAGTCACACAAAATTAAAGCTATTCGGCATATTAAATAGAAAGATAGAATTCTGTCTCACAGCATCCCTTGATAGCAACTCAGTGGCATCCAAGAAAATGTGTAGGAATGTTATAAAATATTGAAAGATTTATTTCATAAGTATGAAAATCAGGGCAGTTTAGGACAGAAACTGGTATTTTTTTAACATGCTTTTTAGAGAGAAATTGTTGACTAATGTGCCATTTCAGTACATTAAGGCGATCAGACTGCAGACTTGATTTGAAAAGTCTGAAGGAAAACAAATGAGGGAAAAAGCTGCATATGTAGAAGAAGTTTTGCCATCTATGAAAGCAAGAAGACTTTACTTCATTTATCTTCTTAATTTAACTTTTGAGAATTCACTTAAAACATAGGAGAGGTAAGAATCCACTAATTGTGGTCATTCTGTTGTTGGACAAAATTCTGAAAGCAGAATACAATCACCACCAAAAGACATCTCAACAAAGAGTAGACATGATTAACTACTTCAAAGTTATCATGAGACTTGCAGAGATATTCAAAAGTATTGCTAAATAATTCTGTAAGAATACATGTGAGCACAGTGATTCACACATATGCACCCACTCACAGAGTTTTCAAAATGCTTAGTTTTTTTCATCCTTTTTCTGTGCAGAACGGATCCTATTCACTATCTTACTACATTATTTAAACAGTTTTAAGATATTTTTCTTTAATACACAGTATTTTGTAAAATATTTTCAGAAAACATTATCTCAGGCCCTTTCCTTCCTGCTCTCTAAGCCACAGTGACTAATTTTCCTTCTGTTGAGTTCATTGCTAATATTTCTTGGCTTTCAGTGACTACCTATAAAGAAATAATCTTATCCTTAAGATAAACCATACAACTTCGATGAAATCACAAAATCATAGAATGAATCATAGAATTATACAGTAGCTAGGGTTGGAAAGGGCCTTAAGATCATCCAGTTCCAACCCCCCTGCCATGGGCAGGGACACCTCGCACTAAACCAGGTTGCTCAAGGCCCCATCCAACCGGCTTCGAACGCTTCCAGGGATGCAGCAATTACCACTTCTTTGAGCAACCTGTTCCTGTGCCTCACCACCCTCAAAGTAGAGAATTCCTTCCTTATATTTAACCTAAGTCACCCCTATTTAAGTTTAAACCCATTACCCCTTGTGCTATCACTATAGTCCCTGATGAATAGCCCCTCTCCAATATCCTTGTAGGCCCTCTTCAGATACTGGAAAGCTGCTATGAGGTCTCCACGCAGCCTTCTCTTCTCCAGGCTGAACAGCCCCAACTTTCTCCTTTCTCAGCCTGTCTTTGTACAGGACGTGCTCCAGCCCCCTTATCGTCCTTGTGGCCCTCCTCTGGACTTGCTGCAACACCTCCATGTCCTTCTTATGTTGAGGACAACAGAACTGCACACAGTACCCCAAATGGCATCTCAAATCAGCAAGTACGTTCATATATTCCTTAGTATAAAATATATTATTTTATCAGGAAATGAAAATAATCACTTTGCATATTTTGAGAAGAAGAGTAAGAGGGAGGAGAAGTTTTTTTCCTGCAGAACCCTTCTGCATTTCATGCTGAGTTTCATGTTGGCTGTAGCATTTGTCAACTAAGACCAACTTGTTTGAAAGGCCTCCTCCCAGTTCCCCCTGTGATTGGAGGCAGCACTTTCAAAGGTTAGGCTAAATTTTTCCTTCTTTACTTTTCCCTGGTTTAATTATATATATGAGTAAAGAAGGCATAGAAGAGGCTCAATGGAATCAGAAGAAAGCAATAAAACATTGGTGAAAAAGAAGTTTGTAACATATCCTTTCTCAAGAGAACAGAGAGCAGAACCTTCAGAATGATGGGAAGAAATAATGTGCTAGTAGAATTTTCAGAAAATGATCCAGTTTATAAAGTGTAAGATAGGCAGGGCAAATCTGATTCTATAGTGCCTGGAATTCTTAGCTAATTTTGTATTCCATTTACTTCTCCTTACAGTATGCATGCACCTGATAACTGACATTTTCAGGCCTGAATACCTCTATCCCAGACAGTTTTCAGAGACATCACAACTTCAGTGGACTACTGCTCAGCTGGCTTACCTGCTAGCTGTTTGCTTTGGTGAAATGCTAAGCAAAGACTAGCTGTAGAAATATGCCTGGTCTGACTGACACAGAAGTAAGAGACTGACAGAATTTTAACTTCAAGCCAACGATTTTTCTGGATCAAGTAATTTTTCAGCATCTTAAAAAATGCTTTATAAAGAGCTGCCAATATAATTATATATACATACATAGTTTTTATTTTTACAGATCACTAAATAACCAAACCCTGAGTTTCTGACTGCGCCACAGAGTTCGAATATTCTGATCTATGCTACTTATATGGCAAAATACACCCTTTTGAATGTCTATGTTACTAGAAAAACTTTGCAGACAGATAATTTTTTTATTAGACCAATTAGTTTTGCAGAAAAAACCCTGCTTCTAGATAAGCATTTTAGAACAAAAGCCATTCATCACGTCTGAAGCAGAAACTAAACATAAATTGAGACAAATTGTTTAATATTCGATTAGAAATGTTGCTGGCACCTGTGCAGCAGAGAAGTAATTTCCTAGGGATTGCTTTCCACATAAAGAAGAATTCCCAAAAATGCAAATGCTACATTTAACAGATACGAAGTATTAGACTTTGCATTCATTTGTATTTCTGTAAGCCCCAGATTGAAAACTTGGTTGGAAAAGATGACAGTAACATTTACAAGAGTCAGATATTATCACTGGGAGGTTGAAGACTGAGGTCTCTACTCACTTTAACTCATCTTGAGCTATTCTTTCTTGCATATTCAGCCCTCTACTTCTCAACTCTGCAATCATTCTGTCCGCCTCACTCTGCAGTTCTGGAAGACTCTTCTCCAAGGTCTTGTCTTGGGTTCTAAGTGTCTCGTTCAGTTTTATAGCATCTTCATTTGCAGCTGCAGGGGGCAAAAAATATTTATGTAGGGAGTTAGTGAATAAAAACAACATGAAAGGCATCTGCCCACCAACTATCAGCAAGTGGAATGCAGCTTGCAC